AAAAAAATCCTCTTCCTCGAGGTTTTACCTGATACTAATGATGCTGGGATCTGATTTGCCCGATCAGACCGTGAGAGAAGTCTTTATGTCTCCCTGTGGGCTTTTTGGAGATAGTAGGATAAGACAACAAAACATTTCTACAGGTTCAGGTTTTTCATAAAATTAAAACTTTGATGAACAAAAAAAATAAATCTTTTTAGTCAAATAAAAGGAGGGATAGAGAGACCGACACATTCCTTCATTTGAAAAGACTTCAATCCATGGCCTCCACAACACCACCAAGTAAAATAAACGTGTTATTTGTTAGCTGTCTCAACTTTTTGTCATCTGTCAAAAAGTCATAAAAGACAGAACTCATTAGAAAAGGAAAAGAAAGCACTTTTCCACTCAATGCTCTTTGACCCTGAGTTGATCTAACCAAGCAACAGAAATGCTATTATTTCTTTTCAGTCTTTTGCAACAAGAATGAAGGTAGAAGAGAAAGCAAGGCTGAAAATCCTTTTGTCGAAACATAATGAATTTAAGGTTGAAGGTTAAGATTTGATTTGTTTTTCAGAAATGTGTTGCATGCCTGAAAGTCTGCGCCGCTCATGTACACTGCTGGAAACTTGAAACTGTGAAACTGCGAATGTCTGCCTGGTCACATTTCTTCAAACTGTATTTAAAACCAATTAGGTTACAGAAAGCTGTAAATCTGTGTAGGTCTTTATTTTTCCTGTCAGACTGTGAAGAGGCTTTAAAAAAAGCCACACGTCCATCATAAGAGAGTACAGTTTTATTTCTTAATGACATCCTTAAACTACGGGTGAAAAATATTGAGAATTTCTGCTAAAACAAGTTTGGGTATACTGGTGTTTGGTTCCAAAGTGGAGATGCCATTGATGCGACCGTATAAAGCGGACAGAAGTCCAAATAAAATACACTGAGGAAAAGGTATTTGAACACCCTGCTTTTTTGCAAGCTCTCCCAATTAGAAATCATACGTTATTCATAGGTGCATGTCCACTGTATGAGACATAATCTAAAAAGACTGTTTATATGGATGATAAGGCTGCAAATAAGTATTTGAACACCTGTCCATCAGCCCTCAAAGACCTGCTTCAAAATGTCTACCTCCCCTCCATTAATTATAGATGCACCCGTTTGATGTCATTAGCTGCATAAAGAAGCCTGTCCACCCCATACAATCACTAAGAATCCAACTACTAACATGGTCAAGAACAAAGAGCTGTCCAAAGACACTAGAGACAAAATTGTACACCTCCACGAGGATGGAAAGAGCTACGGGGAAATTGCCAAGCAGCTTGTTGAAAAAATGTCCGCTGTTGGGAAAATTATTAGAACCTGGAAGACGCTAAACATGACTGTCAATCTCCCTTGGACTGCGGCTCTGTGCAAGATCTCACCTCGTGGGGTCTCAATGATCCTAAGAAAGGTGAGAAATCCGCCCAGAAATACATGGGAGGAGCTGGTCAATGACCTGAAAAAAGCTGTTACTGTTGGTAATACACTAAGACGTCATGGTTTGAAATCATGCATCGCTTAAACCAGCACATTTCAAGGCCCGTCTTAAATTTGCCAAAGACCATTTGGATGATCCAGAGGAGTCATGGGAGAAAGTCATTTGATCAGATGAGACCAAAATAGAACTTTTTGGTCATAATTCCACTAACCCTGTTTGGAGGAAGAAGAATGATGAGTACCATCCCAAGAACACTGTCCCTACTGTGAAGCATGGAGGGGGTTGCATCATGCCTTGGCAGTGTTTTTCTGCACATGGGACAGGACGACTGTAATTAATTTTAATTAATGTTGAAAAGTAAAAAAGATATAAACCTCATTCAAGCTTTCTGAGAACCAAAATATTGCAACTTTTTGGTGCAAATTCTGTTTTTATTTATCCCATCATTCTGTTTTTCAATACATCAATTACAGAAAAGGTTAATTTATTATGTTGATATCGATGTGTGAGTCTGGATTCAATTATTCAGCAGAAACAATAAATTATCTATTTACAAGTAGTATAAACTAAGGCTGGGCGATAATTCAATAACGATATATATCAATCGATAGATGTGTGGCGCAAT